CTTGTATCAGAATCCAATTGTTAGGTTAAGTTGTTTCGTTTAATTTTATAAATTTTATATTAAGTCAATTCTTCGGTTTGATACTAATACCTCTATGTGTTGTGTCCCTTCAGGGTGTTGGAAATCTTGGCATTCTACAATTTCCTCTTCATTGTAGCTCTTAATAAAATTAGTCTTTTTCTTATCTCTCCTAAACCTTGTTCCACCATCCATTTACCAAATTGGCTAAGTAGATTATATGTTGTTTTTCTCTATTCCTCCTCTTGAGTGTCACATCTTACAAGCTCTTTTTTCTCATGATGTGCACTAGAAATTTCAACTGTCTCTTCCTGATGTAAAGTATAATTTTCCTTTTTGTTTCCATCCGTATGGCTGATGCTAACCTCCAGGAGAGTGACTCATTGCACCTTCTCAGGCTAACATTCTCAGCTGACATGAAGTCAAAAGACTAAATTGAAGCCATTGTTAAGAAAGTTTGTTCACTATGACTTGCAAGGAAATTTTTCTCTCCAGAATCTATATCACATAAGTCTAGAGGGTGGTCCGAAAGTCTTGTCACACCATACCAAAAACTAACAAGAACAATAGAAGTAATACAGTAATACAAAAGACATGTACTGGATTCAGTTTATTCACTTTTATTGATGCTGTCACACATTCAGAAGGTCTGTATGAATACAGTCATTTCTGTGGCACAGAATGATGTATTGCTGTGTACTGTGTGATATTTTATGAAGTTATGCTTTGTTGATTGTTGCAAAAGCTCTTTGAATGATGCCCTTCAACTGATGGATATTCTGTTACCATTCATGTGAAACTCTCTCCTTGATAATACCCCACAGAACATTGAAATAGAAAATTATATTATGTCAGGGCAACAAGACTTTCGGACCAACCTGTATATTGATTGTTTAGTCTGCAATCCTATTACTATTTTCCAGAATTTCAAAATCTTTTCTTGCCTCATTTGTAAGAGTCAAATTTAAAACACCATGTTCTGATAATTTCAGTTGACACAGAAATCTTGACGCTACTTGAATTTGGGTTTTGAAGTTGCCCAGCACATATTACTAGAAAGGCAAATAATGAGACAATCAAAATGTTGACTTTCCATGCTACCATAAAGAAAAGGTTTGGAAGTAAACTCAAAAGTGAATGTGTTCTTCCGCAAGAGACTTACATGTTGATGTATAAGTGGAAAAATGAGAAAAAGAGGGTGAGAAAAGATATCACTGAGTGTTTATAGCCCAGAAAATGTTCCCCAGTAATGGTTTCAAAAATTAAGAGGATGTAACCCAGCACTATTCAAGGAATTCTTAAAACATAACTACTAGTGATTTCTCTTGGAAATGGACAAAATTTAAAACACCATGTTCTGATAAATTCAGTCAACACAGAAACCTTGGCTCTACCTGAGTTTTGGTTTTGAAGTTGCCTAGCACATGTCACTAGAAAGGCAAATAATGAGACAATCAAAATGTTGACTTTCCACACTACCTTAAAGAAAAGGTTTGGAAGGAAACTCCCATCAGTTTTCGAAAGAGCTATAACATTTACTGGACTTGAGAAGTCTAATTTCTTGATAAAATGCTTTAAGTAAAAAAGAAATATAAATTTCAACTGACAGTAACATTTAGTCAATGAATTTCAAATATTTGCTGTATGGAAATGGCTAATTTCACCATTACCATCTCTCTCTCTCTCTCTCTCTCTCTCTCTCTACATCTCTCTCTCTGTACTTATCTATCTAGCTATCTATCTCAACTGGTCTAGGAGAAGGATAACTTTGTATTCAAAACCTGTGGAGGGTTGTTTAAGGACCTTGTGGCCCACTTTGTACCAGGTCTCTGTATTTGGCTCTTCAAAAAGTGTGGATGGTTCTGCACAAAGCTTTTACCACTATAGTCAAATCACATGTGCTGGTGTCTTGGCTGTCGGTTCCTAGGAACTGAGCTGCTTGACTCTCATATGTTGAATAAGACAGGAGAGTCAAATATATATATACATATATATATATATATATATATATATATATATACCGGTCGGCATTAGGTTGTATTAAAATAAGCATAATAAATGTTTTCAAGTTAGACATTCCCTTCCCAGTTGGAGAACAGTTGTAACACAATCTTTTACCCTCACCGTTTAGTTATCACCTTCCTAACTGTAAATTTGACATTGAAGTTTCTTTCTTGCCAAGTTTTACAATTCCCTTTTCAGTAATGATTCCTCTTGTGTCTATTTTTTCTTGATTGTCTATTTATGACCAACTTATGTACAAGGCTGTATAATTTCCTGACATTTTATCTTGTACTACTCACCATACATTCAAATCTTCGATCATAAATACCTTCCTTTTAACGAACTACATTGGTACACAAAGTCATAAAATAGAACTGAAGCCACAAGACAGAGTTAATCAATAAATGCCTGAAGGTTAAGCTGATAATTCGACAGAACACCATGCTTCGGACTTGTGCAGAGAGATCAAGATATACAAAGAGGGGGGGAGTTAAGAATATGTTTATTCATTTATTTCTTTTTGTGAAATTCCTTAAAATCATTTGAATTTCATAAAGCTTACCATGTCAGTCTTGTAGGGTTTCTTTTATCGGCTGGGTTGACACGTGATAAGCCACTTAATTTAAAATGTTAATAAATTCTCTTTTGTCTTTTTCTCTCATCCACACGGTGCGATGGATAAACTGTCGTCTAAATTACACAAAAAATGAAAATATATTTACCAAAATTTCACAAAAATATCTTGAAATGCTAAAGAGTAAATTTATTCAATAAAATCGCCATTTCCTTCAACCATGGCCTCCAGACGACTTCAGGATCTCCTGCAACTTTTCTGGATGTTCTTGTTTAAGCTTTTGAATGCTACCATAATCCTTGCCTTCAGTTAATCTTTGGTATTAGATGGAGTTTTGTTGGTCTCTTGCTCAACTACAACCCACACACAATAATCAAGACAGTCGTACTGTGGGAAGTTAGGTGGCCAGATGTAAGGGGTGATGTGGTTGCAGAAATTACCTAACAGCCATGACTGGGTTCAGTTGCAGAGTACTCTTGCCAGATATAGTGTCTTCCTGGAGCCTCCTTCTTGACTCAGGGTAGCACTACCTCCTCAAAGTACTTTATGTAGGTCTACATGTTGAGTCTGAAACCTTCACCAACAAATTCAGGAGTTCTTTTCTTATCAGAATTATCAGAGTGTATTTTTTGAACTGACGTACTTTCGTAATCATTAGACTCATCCAATTCCTTCTAAATCATCTGCACTATCCTCATATTGACAGCCAAACACCCTGAAATGTTCATATTAGAGCTTCTGGCCAAGTATTACAGCATGTCGTCTTCAAATTTCTGACAGAGTGAATTGTGTCATGGTGCTCTTTTTTGGCAGACAGTGCTCAGCTGACCCTACTACAATGTGCTGTCAACAAAATCAAAAGCAAACAATGTGCATATGCAGAATTAAAAATATAAAATAGCAACAGTTTATGCATTGCACCCTGTATACAACACACCCATATATAGAAAGATGTCATTTTAAGTGATTAATGCATTTTAATCCAGCATTATTCTTTATTTTTATAAACGCTATATTAAGTCGATTCTTCAGTTTGATACTAATACCTCTGTGTTGTGTCCCTTTGATACTTGATTTAAAAAGTAAACATTGGAAGACTTGACATTTGAATCAGAAGCCAAATATTGGTCATATTAATACTTGATTCAACATATAAGCATTGAACCAGTTGATACTTGAGTAAACAAAATAAACATTTACTTTAGTTTGTTACTTCATTCAAAATGTAAATATTGGTACTGTTCATACATTGATCTGGATTATACTTGAGTCAGAAGGTAAAAATAGTTATCTTCTCTTAGACTGGTCACCACTCAAGGCTCAATAAATGGCTAGGTAGGAATTCACAAAGGCATTAATGTAAAATGAAATATAAACTACTTCAGTTGGGATTGAACTTCTTTTTCCAATTCCATAATTAAGGGCTGTTAACCTTTCATACATTTAAAATTGATATGCCCAACATCTATCTTGGTATTTTGGCCAGATCAATTTCTTCTTTCACCAATGCCAGGGGAGTGATTGAGTTATCTTCCCTTGTATCAGAAGCCAATTGTTAGGTTAAGTTGTTTCGTTTAATTTTATAAATGTTATATTAAGTCAATTCTTCGGTTTGATACTAATACCTCTATGTGTTGTGTCCCTTCAGGGTGTTGGAAATCATGGCTTTCCACAATTTACTCTTCATTGTAGCTCTTAATAAAATTAGTCTTTTTCTTATCTCTCCTAAACTTTGTTCCACCATCCATTTACCAAATTGGCTAAGTAGATTATATGTTGTTTTTCTCTATTCCTCCTCTTGAGTGTCACATCTTACAAGCTCTTTTTTCTCATGATGTGCACTAGAAATTTCAACTGTCTCTTCCTGATGTAAAGTATAATTTTCCTTTTTGTTTCCATCCGTATGGCTGATGCTAACCTCCAGGAGAGTGACTCATTGCACCTTCTCAGGCTAACATTCTCAGCTGACATGAAGTCAAAAGACTAAATTGAAGCCATTGTTAAGAAAGTTTGTTCACTATGACTTGCAAGGAAATTTTTCTCTCCAGAATCTATATCACATAAGTGTATCATTCATCCATGCTTAGAATATTGCTGCCACATATGGTCCAGTGCTCTTGCCATATATGTAGAGATCCTTGATAAAATCCAAAGTAGAAACAGCGATATTATTGATCCTGACCTGGCATCTCAGCTTCAGTTACTCTCCCACCACTGTAAAATTATATCACTGTGCCTTTTCTATAAATACTTTCATAGTAATTGGTCAGATGTGCTCTTTGCTATGGTACCTCGACTTTATGAAATTATGCATAGTACTGGACTGGCGACAACGCTTTATGAATTTACACTCTCTGATTAACAATTCTGAGTCATTATCCATTGACCCACATGCATATACAAGCATACAGCAACTGGTATTTCCAAGTGATTACCCATCTAGGTACTGACCAGGCTCAACATTGCTTAACTTCGGTGATCATACAGGAACATGTGTTTCAATGTAATATGGCCATAAGCCCATTATACCACACACACATCTAAGCACCTGGTATTTCCAAATGGTTATCTATCTAGATACTGACCAGGCTTGATGTTGCTTAACTTTGGTGATCATATGGGAACCAATGTTTCAACATGATATGGCTGTAAGCCCAATATACCTTCTGCACATCCAAACTTACATCATCTGGTATTCTTATGTGGTCACCCATCTAGGTACTGACCAGGCTCGATGCTGCTTAACTTCTGTGATCATACAAGAACTAGTGTTTCAATATGATATGATCGGCAAAGTCTCATCAACTTACAGTTGAATTGGTTAGATGCAACAGTAAGTTCTTTGCTAAAAGTTTCTTTTCTCTCACTTCTCACCTGTAGAACTCTCTTCCGGATCCATGCTTTCCAGCAAACTTTGGAATTCCCTCCCAATTGCTTGCTTCCCTAATAGCTACAATCCTCAAAAATTTAAATGCAATGTCAATCATTATCCTCCTGATTACTCCTCGTTATCCTCCTGGTTATTCTTCTATTGTTCTCACTCCTTAGTAATGTTTCTGTTTTTTAATTCTTTCACACCCAATAACTCACTTGTGTCTTAGTGGCTTTATTGCCTTACTTGGGATAAATCTGATTAAAAACATATTTCTCTAAAACATCATTGCTCATATATTCGGCCTTTATCTGATAACTTAATTTTGTATCCAAAACGTAAACAAAGTAATCTGCAATGAATTAATGAATTTTATTTGTAATTCCACATTTCTTTTTGTTTCTCAAAAAGTTATTTTTACTGGATGCCCATGTTTGTGTAGACGTCCTGTTTTTTTCAACAGTGTGAATTATGTCTAACAGGTTGTGCATTCAAGACATTAAGAGTCTGTCTATATTTCTGAGATGAGGTATTATGTCCTCAAGGACACATGGCACAGTGGATAAAGGTGTTGGTTAGATCCAGTGACAGACCCAAAGAAGGTGAGTTCAATACCTGGTTAAGGCAGTGGAGAACTTTCAGAGGGAAAATTAGCAGGAGATAACTGATAACTGGCATCCATCAAAACATGGCACATGGAACTAGAACAGTCTATGCCAGTGATCGGAATAAAGGGTTCAGTTTGAAATTCCAGCCACCTGAAGAAGGCCGGAGCGTACAATGGCCGAAACGTTGCGACAAATATGGCGACAAAGATGAGAACAATAGTCCGACTAATGTAAATACTGTTCAAGACATTTAATCACAAAAATGTACCTTACAAACAGGCTTGAAATTACATTCCCCTTATAGAAAAAAAAAACACTGTCTGACCCAGCATGTTTTAGATCACTCAGCCGCAGAAAGTTTTCACAGACTGAAACAAGTTTCAATTACCCTTTAAGAAATACAAACTTCTATTTGGTATCCCACAAAGCTCATGTCTGCTAATTCTATTTTTGTATCCAAAATATAAATTAATTTCTAAGGAATTGATGGATTTCTAATCTGACATTATTTGTCATTGCTATAAATGTTGTATTTATTGGATGGACATGTTTGAGTAAATGTCTCTGCTATTTTAAACAGAATAATTTGGGATACAAAAATAAAAGTAGATATGGTTTTGTAATGAGAGATGTGCTTTTCTTCATAAGAGGAATCAGTCCTTACTTTGCCATGAAAATCCTTTAAAGATGAAGGGTCTAAATCACGCCAGGCTATGTGGGGGGGGAGGCTTCCACAATAAAAAGGGAGATACAGTTTCAAACCCAGCAAAAGAGCACATTTTCTTTATTAAAGTCTCTTAAAAAACCCAGGCCAGTAGATGCTAAAGCAAGATTGCAGAAAGAAAAATGCAAATACACATACACACACACACACACACACACACACATATATATATATATATATATATATATCCAAGTATAGGATTGGTGTATACAGAATAAATTCCAATAACCAACAAATACTATTCTTAAAAGAGTGCTCAATAAAGAGTAGAGCAAATATAATTATTTATTCGAAAATTATAAAACATAATTATTTATTTGAAAATTATAACATTATATGTTATAAAATCACTACAAAAATAGCCATTTTGTTTCAACACTTCTGGTGTCTTATCATGTTTCAACACCGTCACTTGATAAGACACCTTTTGAGTTATTCAGCTAGAAAGAGAACAGGTTAAAATCATTTTGTGCCAGACTTACTATATCTTCTTAACTGAGCAATGGTGAGAGGAAAAACATAATTCAGGCCTTCAGTAATGGTACCAACAATCTTCTATCTTCAAAGTTCATTCAAGAACCATCAAGAGAATGGTGAATAACTTTAAAATAGAGGGAACAATAGAGAGGAAAAATGAATCAGGAGGTCACAACTGCAAGAGGTAAATACATTCTTATTGCTCAAAGTAGAGTCCAATAATGTTATAAAAACCTTGGATAATTCCAGTAAGATATCTTTAATCAGTTCTAAAATACAACAGTTCAAAGCTTAATCTAACAATTGTACAATTTTGCTGTTACACCCAGTGTGTGTGTATATATATATATATATATATATATATATATATATATATATATATATATATATATTATTATTATTATCATTATTATTATTATTATTATTGGTTTTCCTTCGAATCTGAAGATTACGAGTTGTATCTGCTTCTCATCTGTGAACTTGGAGGTGGCTCCGCAACCCCAAGCTGGAGGCACAGCATCTGGAAGAGTGGGGCACTGCTGATGATGTCCTGTCGCATTGATCTCTGGCAGCAGTGATCTTCCGGCGTCAAGCATTCTAGAAGGTGATAGCAGCATCATGAATTGTGATTTGCCAACATAGTCAATCACTGGCGCATTCCTCTAGTTCTTTGGGTTTGAGCTTGCACCCCTCAAGATTTGCTTTCACAGGGTCTTTGTACCATTTCTTTGGGTGGCCTTGGTTTCTCTTGCCATGCAGGAGCTCTCTGTACAGCAGACATCTTGGCAAGCAGTGCATGCAGATGACATGCCCTACCCATCAGAGTTGGGCCTTAATGAGCATGGAGCCAATGCTTGAGGAGTGAGCACAATCCAGGACCTCAAGGTTGGTAATGTGGTCCTGCCAGCGAATTTTGAGTATGGAAAGGAGAGCTCACATGTGGAAGTTCTCCAGCTTCTTGATGTGTTTGCGATACAGTGTCCAGGACTCACAACCATATATAGAAGGGAGAGCAAAACCACTGCATTGTACACTCTTAGCTTTGTAGTCAGCCGAATGTTGTGCTGACTGAGCACTCTGTTGCGAATTCTTTCTAATGCCTGACTTGCTTTGCTGATTTGAGCATCAATTCTTTTATTCAAGGAGAAGTCATGAGAAATGGTACTTTTAAGGTATTTGAAATGCTCAACATTGGCAAACTGTGTGTCACTGATGACGATGGTCGGTGCTGAGGTGCTTGTATTTGGTGTGATGAAGCACCTCAATGTTGCCAAGACTTTTCAGGCCAAAGAGCTTGGAGGCATCAGAGAAATGGTCCAGCATCAGCTGCAGATCAGACTCTGCATGGGCCACTAGTGCACAGATATCAGCAAAGAAGACTTCCTGGAGGAGATCTTGGTGGCTCTTTGTCTTGGCAGGGAGGTGACGAAGGTTGAAGAAGGAGCTGTCCAAATAGTAGTGAATGTAGACTCCCTGCTCCAGATCCTGGACAGCATGGGATAGCAGGCAGGCAAAGAAGATGTTGAATAGGACTGGGGCTAAGAAACAGCCCTGCTTTACACCATTGCTGATCTTGAAAGTGTCCGTCATATTACCACTGGAGAGGACCTGGCCATTTATGATGTCATGGAAGAGCCTAATCATTGTCATGAACTTTGGTGGGCATCTGATGCACTCAAGGACTGTCCAAAGTACTTCCCTGTTGACCATGTCAAAAGCCTCAGTCAGGTCAATGAAAACAAAGTATAGAGGCATGTTTTGTTCAATGTACTTCTCCTGAAGTTGTCTCATGGCAAAAATCATATCAACAGTACTTCTGCATGGCCTGAAGCTGCACTGTGCCCCTTGGAGGTTTTCCTAGGAGACTGTAATGAGTCAGTTGAGAATGACTCTGGCAAAGATCTTTCCAGTGATGGAGAGAAATAAAATGCTTCTGTAATTTCCACAGTCAGCTTTGCTACCCTTGTTCTTGTAGAGGGCTTCACTGAAGTCATCCGGCATCTTCTCCTTCTCCCAGATAGTCCATGGGACATCATGAAAGGCACCCCCTAGGGCGTTGGGCCTGCTGCCTTGTAGATCTCAGCAGGATTTTCCTAATGCTCTGCTTGAGCTCATCTGAAGGATTGCTTTCTTGATCTTGAATAATTGGTGGCACAGTGAGCCCGTCCCATATTGGCTGCTGAGAGATCTGCTTCAGTGCATCTGCATTGACTGATGAGGGTCGGTAAAGCAGGTTGCTGAAATGTTCTTGCCAGTGCTTGCTTAGACCTTCTTGGTCCTTGATTAGGGTTGTGCAATCTGAAGACATCAGAGGAGAGCAGTCTGATGCAGAGGGACTGAAGACTGTCCTCAATGAGCTGAAGAATTTCTTGGTATTGTGAGTATTAGTGTAGTATTGAACTTCAGCCACTTTGTTCCTGCCACCACTGGTCTTGCATCATGTTCAGATTGGACTGCACTTATATATATATATATATATATATATATATATATATATATATTGTGCATATTTATGCAGCATATTTTCATTCAAACAGGTTTGGTTAAATAATTTAGACATATCATGTCGATTAGTTTTCGTTGTGATCCTTTCAAGTTCATGGATTAATATCTTGGTAGACTTATAAAATTGAGTAAGAAAAATGCCAAAATTTTCTTTTGAATAGTTTTTATTTACCCAAGTACTTTCAATCTCATCTGAAACCATCTTCAGGGGGTTAGGTTGTCTGTGATTATGTATGTGTTTCTGTGAATTTAAAACATTTCAACTGTTTGTTATTTTACTGCTTAATTACTGCTTAATCAACATGATATTTCTAAATTATTTAACCAAACCTGTTTGAATATATATATATATATATATATATATATATAGTTTCATTAAAGACGATTGACAAGGTAGTGCGATTAAGCTTTTATTCAATTTTGCTTGTGTTCATATACAATTTTTACACATTTTATGTCCAGAAAAGGATAAGCTTATACAAACAAAAGAAAAATTGAATAAAAAGCTTAATCGCAGTGTTTAATGAAACTTGTATAAAAAAGGGATTACTACCCAAATACACAATTATATATATATATATATATATATATATATATATATATATAGGTAAAACTCCACAGGTAAGTAATCCAAGTAGATCCTAATAATATAAAATATTAAAACTGATCCACAAAAGGGAGCTCAATATATTTGTTATAGAGTATATAATGAATTACATAAAAATGAAATTCTATTACCCCATTCAGATGGCCATTTCACCCCAGGATGTCCTTCCTGGGGCTTGATGTAAAAAACGATTTTGCATTAACAAGCCCTGGGGAATATCCAGGGGGTGAGATGGCCATCTGAATGGGGTAATAGAGTTTCATTTTATGTAATTCATATATATATATATATATATATATATATATATATATATATATATATATATGGCTTTTGATGTCAACACCCACTGGTGAGACTGTTTTATGTTTAAACACAATTCTCAGGTGTGATAATTGCATGTAAAAAGCTCATCAGAACAGTTGCCATAAAACTATTTGCAGAAAAGAGAAATGGAAGTCATGTCTTGTTGGTGAGAAAGTGAGTGAAGCTGAGTCGCCAGGTCAGGATCGATTATATTATAGTCCCTGCTTTGAATTTAGTCAAGATATTCATGAACACAGTGTATTTAAGAATTTACTTAAACAGGTAGTCCACTGCCAAGAGATGTTTAGAAAAGATAGTAATTGGCAATCATCTATGGTGGACTACACATTCCACAATTTAAAATGTTGGAATGAGTTACTTTTCTTTCTTCACTTGCTTGTTAACTCATGCAAGAAATGGCTTGTAAATTTCAACACCCCCAAAATGAAACTGTTATCTTTTAGTCATCATAGAGAACCATTTTTGTTTTCCATCAGTATCGTTGATGCTAACCTCAAGGAAAGCAAATCATTGCAACTTCTTGGTATCATGTTTTCCAATGACATGAAGTGGAAAGATTATATTGAATCAATTGCTAGATCTACTGCTAGGAAAGTTGATTCACTTTGCCATGCTAAACAATCTTATAATATTTATAAGTCTACCATTCATCCATACTTTGAATATTGCTGCCACTGGTGTTTCTGCTATATATTTAGAGATTCTTGATAAAATCTAAAGAATCTGCAATGTTAATGGTCTTGACTGGCATCCTGGCTTCAGTCACTTTTTCACTGCTATAATGTAGGTTGATGACACGATGATTTACTCATGTCTTAAGTCAATAAGGTCAAATTGGCAGCTGATTTCAAAAGTGACCTAAAACCTGCTGTTAACTGGGGCAAGGAATGGCTTGTTAATTTTAACACCTCCAAAACAAAACTGCTTTCTATTAGAGAATCTGAGAGACCCCTTTCTGTCTTCCATCAGCATGGCTGATGATAACCTCCCACCCCCAGGAGAGCAACTTGCACATTCACAGGCTAACATGAAATGGAAAGATTCTATTGAATCAATTGCTAGGTCTGCTGCTAGGAAAGTTGATTTACTTTGCCCTGCTAAATAATTTTTCTTGCCAGAATCCATCTTACACATTTATAAATCTCCTATTCATAAATGCATTGCATATTGCCATTGTTTGTTGCTCTTGCTTTAAATCTCCAGATTCTTGACAAAATCCAAAGATGAGTTTGTAATATTATTGGTCCTGACCTGGCATCTCAACTTTAGTTACTTTCCCACCAGCATGACATGGATTCTCTCTGTCTTTTCCATAAATATTTTCATAGCAATTGTTCTAAGGTACTATCCCCCTTGGTACCTCGACCACCTAAATTTAGACATAGTACAAGAGTAGCAACCAGGTGTCATTGTTTTAGTGTTGAAATCACTACATGTAACTATAAGTCCTATTTTAATAGTTTCTTTTCTTGTACTTCTCACCTGGAACCCTTTTGGCTCATGGCCATATGGTGTTGAAACACTAGTTCCCATATGATTACTAAAGTTAAGCAATGTCAAGCCTGGTCAGTACCTAGATGAATGACTACTTGCAAATTCCAGGTGCTGTAAGCTTGGATGTGTGGGTGCCATAATGTGTAATAGCTCAGAATTGTTAATTGGTGAGTAGTGTTCCAATTCCAGTTGGGTTCATTATATTCACTTATTTAATAATACTCTTGGGAAATGTATGAATCCACTGCTTCTCCCCCAACTATGGGTTAATTAGTAAGATTTGTATCACTAAACCATTTTATCTCCTACCACAAAATTCTTATAATCTAAAAATATTTTAAATAACCTGCAAAAAACAAATCAATCAATCAAACAATCAATGGAACTCTTTTGGCTTCTTGCGTTCCATATCATCTATAATCTTCAAAAGTTTAAATTCAATGTCAGTCACTGCTTTCTGTCTTCCTGAAACCTGTTCTTTTATTGTCCTATCTCATCACTAACCTCTTCCCATTTCCTTTTCCTCTCAGCAACACCTTGCATCTTAGTGGCTTTATTGCCTTGCTTGGGATGAAATGATTAATAAATAATAAAACAAATAAAGCCTGTTTTGGCATCTCACTCTCTCTTTGTGTTTGCATCTCTGAATCTGACTAAATTGTATTTTAAGCCTTCCGCATCACAGAAAGAAGACAATGTATTATGATGCCAAAAAGGGAAATATAGAAAACCCTTTATTTAGTCTGGGATTGCTTAAAAATTGTGAGTTACCGGTAATTGGTACTTCCTTATAGCGCATTTACGATAACAGGTGAAATCACTATTAATGCAGATCTTTGTAAAAGTGAAATAGTACAAAGAGAGCAAAAGTGAAAGATATCTTTTTGTTTTTATGACTAAATTCTAATAGAATAACTGTAAAATCCAACTTGGAGAGATAGGTTTCAAGATTTGAGGCAGAGACTGCATCTGCTTGTATCTGGTTCTTTCAAAATATATTAGAGAAACAAAGTTTGGTGATATTGCAAGGTACAGCTGTGGTACTCATAGTTACTGATAATGATTCTGGATTATGTGAACATTATTCAAAAATAACTGTTTGAAAACAATTATTCGAAAAACATTTATTCAAATTGTAAATTGTTTGAATGAAAATTAATCGAAAGGACAATTATGCTAAATGATAATTATTTGAAATGCAAAATTCTTTATTGCAATAAAATTTAAAAGAGGAAATACACAAATGATAATTATTTGAAATTCAAATATTGTTAATAAACAAATTTAGTAAGAAAAAATCCTTATAAGCTTAAGTTATATGATACTGCACACAAATAGTCAACTCCTGAAGAGTACTCAAAATGCCACTAAGTTTTTCATATACATCATAGTATTTCTTGGCACTCTTGAGTGCCAGAACTCCTCCCTTATGACAGTGAATGTTAGACAATCTCAGCATACATGAGGGTGGTTCTACAGAAGGATGCTGAGGATACTATGGACCAAACATGTGAACATTGACAAAGTTTTAGAGAAAATGAAAAGAAAAAGGACACTTATACATAACATCAGAAACATAGTTGAAATTTCTAGGGCACATAATAAGGAAAGAGGGCTTAGAAAATTTGATACTCACAAGACAGATTGAAGGCAAGAAGGGACAGAGGAAAGCAACGCGTAACCTACCTAAAGAGCTTGATTAAATTGATGGGGGAACAAGTTTTAGGAAAAATAACAAAAAAGATAACATTCCCCAAAATAGATTCCACAGGCGTTATGGCGATGTGCATGAAACAGAATTATATGGTAACTTGGCATCCCTAATTCACATTCTATACTCATATAACTACTCTATCTGCACTTTTATTCTTTAGGGACAAACTCTTAAACTAGAATCTTAAAGTTAAGTATTCCTTGAAGCTCTGAAATAAGGTATTGGTTTTTGTTTTTTTTTTGTTTTTTTTTTCTTTCCTGAACTTATTTTAATCAGCCTCTTCAACTTTGGTCTTTCAATCAAAGAAGTAGATATTGATCCCGGTTGTTAATCATAAGTTTGATCTTCTTTGAACGTTCCAATGCTATCAGCCCTCCTGAAACATTAATAACAATGTATGAACATCACAAGTCTTCATTGATAAGTGGTGGCATTCATTCAATTCACTAAAATGCCAAAAAAGAAAGAAATGCTTTTCTTTTGTCCTTAAGTCATATTAATTCCACATAGATATGTTCAACTGCTATTAAATATCTTTGATTTGAGAGACTTTGATGTCTTTCTCAAAGATAAATATTGTAAAAACTTGGTTTTGAGCAGGAACTTTCTGCTTATTCCTTGGTTACGTAAGTAAATAGAATGAACAAAATACTTAACTAACTGTTATGCAGTTCCAAGAATATCAAAAAAGGGCATGACCCCTAAATGCTTTAGAGCCTATTCTCTTTCCTATAATTCTGGCCATATAAATTCATATTAAAATATATAAAAATTTCTGCTTGCATCTCTGAAATAAGCAATTATCATTATTTACATGATTTGCATTTGAACTATTTTCCCTAATCTGTGTTGTTGTTATCAAATTTCAGCCATTGTGTCTCCAGCCTTCATCAAGTGTACCCAGTACCATATACACCTGATGAAGGCCAGAGGACACAACGGCCGAAATGTTGTGATAATAATAACAAAGATGAGGACAATAATCTGAATATAAATAGTGTAAATAAAATATATGAAAGCTGGAAAGATGATCTTGTATCTTGATGTTGTCAGGGATTCATTGTATTTTTCCATCCCATCTTGAATGAACCAAGTGCTCCTATTACTACTGGTATTGTTGCTGTCTTCATGCCCCACATTCTCTCAATTTCTATTTCTAGATCTTTATATTTGGAGAGATTTTTTTCTGTAGTTTTTAGCAAGATGTTTCTTTTGGCAGCCTTAATTTATATTATTCTATTGCTAATTTTATTCTATCTTATTATTGTTGCTTTTATCCCAATGTTTTGACTCAATATACTCTTCATTATTACTATTATTATATTACTAATTTTATTCTATACTATAATTGTCTTTTTTATCCCATAACAAGTGTTTGACATCTGTTTCAGAGAGATGGAAAAAGTTGACAATTTCAAACCTTTTCATTTGTACACACTTCTTAAAATAACGACCAGCATTCATATTTATGATTGTTATTACAATATTTTGTTAAAGTTGTTAAGATCAAATATTTAACCCTGTGATAGGGGAATTTCTACAGATATTTTAAGAGCTTATTCAATCCCACTGAAAAATTAAGATTCATCAAAAATTTCAAATAAGAAAATGTGTGAAATTTTCATGGGTTAAAACAAATTTATTATTATTATTATTATTATTATTATTATTATTTTATTTCCTTTGATTTCTGGCGTGTACTCATTTCTTTCTGAGTCCCGACCAGAGATCTAAGGTTAGAAATGGCATCATGACATTTTCCACTGAGCAATTTTTTAAAACAAAATCACACACATTTTACATAGATAAAGCCCTTCGTAAGGTGTGGGTTGAACTTGTGAGAACAATTTTTTGTATTTCTTTAAAGCATGGACTGCCAGCAATCCCTTCAATTAGTCTACTGGAATCTTTTCCAATCAATCCAAAGGGTTCAACTATAACTGGAATTGTTGATGCTCTCATGTACCGCATTTTTGATATTTTCATTTCAATGTCCTTGTATTTTGATAGTTTTTTGAAGATCTTCAAAGACACATTGCAGTCTTCATGGGCTGCCATATCACTATGGAGGTGCTTTTTGTGTTTTTGGTCTCTAATTACAATGTCAGGGCGATTAGCTTTGATTGTTCTGTCTCTGTGTATTGTGAAGTCCCACAAAATTGTTACAGGTTCTATATCTGTAACATGGTTTGGGTGGTGTTCATACCAATTTCTTTCAGTTTCCTTTCCATAGAAGATGCAGATTTTCCAGTACAGATATTGGCCCAGACTGTCATGCTGTGTTTTATATTCAGTGAGTGCCAATACCGTGCAACCTGACACAAGATGGTTAATTGTTTTGAGATATTTATCACAGAATCTGCATTTTGGGCTAACACAATATTTTAGTTTGTGTGCTTGATAATTCCTAATTAACAAGCATTGGTTATGTTCAGCAAGAATAAAACCTTCAGTTTCAGCTTTTAACCCTGCACCATATAGCCACTGATTGTATGGGGTTTGTCTACATCTGCTTGTTTGATACAGGCAGAGTATTGACTGTGAAGCACTTTATCTTGCCATCATTTTTATATCTGGTCGATCGCATTTGCTTTCTTTCTTAAGTATTTATTATTATTATTATTATTATTATTATTATTAAACCACATAGGATGTTGGTTGCTGGTAAAAAGTGTCTTTTCAGGTCACCACTTGTGACTTGAGAAAATAAATTGATCATTTCTTCTTTTCCCTGACAGGCTCTATTTAATTCATTGACTCCACTCCTGTGGGATATTCTGATGCAGACAGTGATGACTTCAGAGCATAATAAAACAGATATAGCCCTGCTGGACAAACAGAAAAAGATTTGCAACCTAATAGATGTCTCATGTCCATCTGACATGAGATTTGAAAAGAAAGAAAAGAAAGTCAACAACAACAATGAATTAAACTATGAAATTTCAAAAGTTTTGGAATGACTAGCAGAAAAAAAGTAACTACAGTACCAGTGATCATTAGAGTACCAGGATGCTGTACCAAAAAATAAATAACATGGATTGTGAAGATGCCCAGTACTTTTTTGAACAGCCTAAATTATGTCTACTGGCCTGGGCATTCCAGAGTTTTAATAAAGAAATTGTGTGCGCACACATGCACCCCCCTACCTGTAGGGTAAACTACTTGTCTGATTCAGTGTGCTTTAAACCACTCACCCACCAAGTGCTTTACAACCCAGCAAGAGGCCCAATAGTCTCTCAAAGCACAGTGCCTTCTGAAGGGCACATCGTCACCATGAACCTGGGTAAAACCTATGCCCAACAAGAGACCTTGACAAGCTGAGAAGAAAATTAGAGTAAATGAAACAGTTGTCAAGGCAAGCAAATTACATTCTGAAATTTCATTTGTAAAATGTCAGATTTCCA